CACCCGACCGTACATAACACACCTGTCAGAACGTTAGACCGTCGAGCAAACGTAACCGAACAACGAGACTGCAAACAACAGGACCAACTCATACAAAGACCTGTGGAAACCCGGCATGGGCGATAAACAAAAGTAAACAACAGAAAGAAAAGCCCTCTCTGTCGCAAGCTGGGATCAAACCTGCAACCCTCCTTCCTGGAGTCCCCGCTCTGCCTCCAGAGCTGCTGCTGCGAACCCGCTCTGAACCGACAGAAGGTGGTAAAACTAAACGTGTGTGAGTGTTTTTAGACGCTGATCCCGCGCTGAAGGACAGGTAACCCACATCCCGTCAGGAATACACGTAATCCTGATCCAATCCCATCAACCCGTCCCTCCTGACCACGGCGGCGATTAGCTCTGACACGTTTACCACATACCTGAGGACGTGCTGAGGTCCGCGTCGCTGCTAGACTTCCCGACCCTGCCGTTGACGTGCTCAGCGGCGTCCTCCTGCGGCGGCGGGAGGCTCTGAGCCTCTGTTCTGGGGTGGGTGGGTCTACGTTCTGGGTCTCCTGCCTGATGCAGCAGCTGGAGAACAGACCCACAAACAAACACTAAGATCAGACTCGTCGTTGTTCAGAGCAGATAGAACAGAGGTCTACGGCTACCGAGGCCTGGATGGAGACTGGGCCTGATGGGGGGGTCCTGCGGAGCTCCTCATCCTCCTCATCATCGATGTCCCAGGCATCGTCAGTGCTGCTGGCAAACTCGTGAAAGCTGCAGGCTTTCTTAGACCCGATGTTGTTGTACTTTGGCTTTGAGTCTTTAGGAAACCTGCAGAGATAAAAACACGTAACTATCGACCGGTGGCTGCGATGCCGTTCACTTCCACCACAAATCCTGAAACCACGGGCAAAGAAAACAAAGCAGGATGAACAACGCTGCAGCGCAGGTGCATGCAGGTGCACGTGGGCCTGAGAACACGGGACAGACAGATAAAATGCATCCATGCAGCCGTGCTCAGAGCACTTACGTCCGCCGTAAACAAGGGTCCAGGGGGGGGTGCTGCGCTCCGTAAACAGGCTGCACGCTGTGGAGGACAGTGCACACATCTGTGAGGAAAACACCTGCAGCTGGACCTCTTCCCAGAGTAATGATTACTCAGAGGAACTGGTGAGGGAACACCCCGTCCCCCAAAACACCAGCCTTATCCAGAAACAGTCCGTAAAAGACCATGGCGCTGTTCCACAAAGCCAGCTAATCCAGGCTCTCTGAAAATCCAGGTGTAGTTCTACCAACACGGCTAGCCTGAAGCCCCTCCCCGTCACCATGGTAACATACGCTGGAGAACAAACCTGCTCCGCGGCAGGCTAGCAGCTAGGCTAGCAGCTAGGCTAGCAGCTAGGGCTTAATGAAGTTTGGGGAATATGATTGGACGAGGCAAGTGACGTGACCTTTTTCTTGTGGGTGGCTGGCAGCTAGGAGGTGGTGAATCAGCGCCCCCGCTGGCCCACAGCGGTAGCAGCAGCTTTGTTCTTAACGGCTAAATAATTAATAAATGTGGAGTTTAAACTTTTAAACATGAGCTGTGACTGGATTTACATCTTTGTTGTGTTTAATCTTCATTTGCAGCCCGGAGCGTCTGACTCCACTGATGTCAGCGTTATTAATAAGTATAATTATACCAGCTTTAGTCTGGGACGGCCCGTATCATCAACACGCTGCCTCTTCATGTTAAACAGCCTTACACTAGCTTACAGCTGCTACCGTAATACACGTAAGAGGAGATACTTTATTAGTGTGACTACACATTTACTCTGGTCACACGAGTCAAACACGCTAACATCTGATTTAAATGACACTCGTGATGTTTGTTCCTCGGCGAGTAATGAGAGCTAAACGGTTTACAGCGTTAACTTTAGGTCATGTGATCTTGGTGTCATGTGACCAGCTGCTCAGCAGAAACAAAGTCCTCCAGTCTCTAAACACTGACTCTGGAGCAGAGCATGAACACCACATAAATGATGAAACATAAAAGTAGTGTGCGTGGCCGTGCACGGATTAAACGAAGGGGCGTGGCATTGTAAAAGGTGTGATGGGTTGCCCAAGTCCCGTTTCATCAGCGCTATGCTAACAGAGCTGGGGCTGACACCTGCCAGGGGCACAACAGCGGTGGTGTTTAAAACAGTTTATTTGAGGAATTATATCATTTCAAGGTTGATTAATGTAGTTATTGATGAACTGACCGTAGTTAGTGGTGGATGGACTGTATGGGGGAGGGAGTTAAAGGGTCTTCCTGGGGTGTCCGTAAGAACACAAGTTCAGGCTTCCTTTCAACTTGACCTCTTCATGCTCAGGTGAACAGCAGTGGAGATGCAGCGATGCACAGGGCTGAGCGATGGAGCACTACCCAGAGTTCACAGCGATGTGGGTGTGGTCACAAAAACCCTCTAATAGAATAATCAGCAGGTCCAGATCACCTTGGTCTGGACAACCCGGTCTACATGGCCAGCTAGCTAAAGCCCTCCACGAGGAGGACATCTAGTGGCCATTTCAGGTATTTACCAAAGCTCACACATTCTGAGACTTTAGCCCAAATACCCCCCCCCCCCCCCCCCCACACACACACACACACACGGGACCTACACACACACACAAACAAACAAACACACACACACGGGACCTACACACACGGGACCTACACACACACACGTGACCTACACACACACACACGTGACCTACACACACACACGGGACCTACACACACACACGGGACCTACACACACACACGGGACCTACACACACACACGGGACCTACACACACACACGGGACCTACACACACACACGGGACCTAACACACACACACGGGACCTAACACACACACACACGGGACCTACACACACACACGGGACCTAACACACACACACGGGACCTACACACACACACGGGACCTAACACACACACACGGGACCTACACACACACACGGGACCTACACACACACACGGGACCTAACACACACACACGGGACCTACACACACACACGGGACCTAACACACACACACGGGACCTACACACACACACGGGACCTAACACACACACACGGGACCTAACACACACACACGGGACCTACACACACACACACAGGACCTACACACACACACGGGACCTACACACACACACGGGACCTACACACACACACGGGACCTACACACACACACGGGACCTACACACACACACGGGACCTACACACACACACGGGACCTACACACACACACGGGACCTACACACACACACGGGACCTACACACACACGGGACCTACACACACACGGGACCTACACACACACACGGGACCTACACACACACACGGGACCTACACACACACACGGGACCTACACACACACACGGGACCTACACACACACACGGGACCTACACACACACACGGGACCTACACACACACACGGGACCTACACACACACACGGGACCTACACACACACACGGGACCTACACACACACACACGGGACCTACACACACACACGGGACCTACACACACACACGGGACCTACACACACACACGGGACCTACACACACACACGGGACCTACACACACACACGGGACCTACACACACACGGGACCTACACACACACACGGGACCTACACACACACACGGGACCTACACACACACACGGGACCTACACACACACACGGGACCTACACACACACACGGGACCTACACACACACACGGGACCTACACACACACACACGGGACCTACACACACACACGGGACCTACACACACACACGGGACCTACACACACACACACGGGACCTGGACCTACACACACACGGGACCTACACACACACACGGGACCTACACACACACGGGACCTACACACACACGGGACCTACACACACACACGGGACCTACACACACACACACGGGACCTGGACCTACACACACACGGGACCTACACACACACACGGGACCTACACACACACGGGACCTACACACACACACGGGACCTACACACACACACGGGACCTACACACACACACGGGACCTACACACACACACACGGGACCTGGACCTACACACACACGGGACCTACACACACACACGGGACCTACACACACACACGGGACCTACACACACATACACGGGACCTGGACCTACACACACACGGGACCTACACACACACACGGGACCTGGACCTACACACACACGGGACCTACACACACAGACACATCCACAAGCCACACCCGCTCCTCGGAGATCCGCTCCACTTAGGTTTCTCAAACAGACGAGCTCCTGTTTCTCTGCTCCACCCAGCGATGGTTAGGGTTTGAGCCGCAGAGGAGACACCCTTAACGGATGTGTTATGAACGCTTAACGTCGTGGTTTAAACCTTTTAAATCAGCAGCGGACAGAGAAAAGGTGCCTGAAGACGTTTTTACTGAACCAGAACAACCGTAAAGAGAAGGAAACACGTCTGTGTTTGTTTTAACCCCATGTTATATTTCACTATGCTACGTTCTCGTTGTGTACCGACGCACCGATATGACATTTTTGGGCCGATATCCAATATTAACATCACCGTTACGGCCGATAACGAATATCTGCCAATACCAATATACTGACATTAATGCTTCTACAATGAATTGTTGTTATTAAACACACACACACACACACGCACACGCACACACACACACACTTCTGAGATGATTACAATCAGTCACATGAGTAAACAAATAAACATCACCCTCCACCCTCTGAAACAGATAAACAAATGGAAACATGATGGAAAAAATATCGGTTGTTAATATCGGACCTGTTTTATTTATCGAACCGATATGTTAAAAAATTGCTAGCATGGGCCGATACCGATATATTGTGCATCCCTATACTTGTGAACAACAATAGGGTGAAAGTTTTTCTGTGAAGTCTGATTAGATTGTAGTGATGCACCGATATGAAATTTTTGGGCCGATACCGATATCCAATATTGAGAACTCTGTTAAGGGCGATAACCAATATTTGCCGATACCGATATGCTGACATCAGTGCTTCTAAAATCAGCAGAATTTGTATAGAATGAAAATGATTCAAGCTGAATTTACGGTATTATGTACACACAACACAAGTTTATGGTTCTGAGAGGATTTCATTCACTGTCACATGGGATCCCTTTGGACTGTGGGCGGAAGCCTGAGAGAACCCACGCATGCGCAAGGAGAACATGCTAGATCTTGATATCCTGTCCATCTCTATTAGCTTGTTAAACGCTCCTCTCCTCTTCAGCCTGGGCACAACAGACCACCAGGGAGGCTGGGTTGTTGGTTGTTCGGATTTATGGGTCATTCAGTCACTCCAAGGCTCCTAAAGCCAAGAGGAACTGGATACACCTGTAAGCACTCGGCTTCAGGTCCCAGGTGTGCTTTAGGTAGTCCACCACCTCAGAGGCTTCAGCCTTAACGCGCTCCTCCAGCTGCAGTAGGTAATAACTAATGCATCATTCAGACTCTGGAGAGGAGAGGAATGAACGCGGGCGAGACTTCACATGTCAGGTGCATCTGAGCGCGCGCGCAGGTGACCAGATGGAGGTCTCTGCTTCCTTCACACAAACACCGAGATGACGTTATCCGCTCCAAAGCCGTGCATCCACTTCCGTCGGTTACCGGCGTATTCGTTAACCGTTCATCTCTGCGGTGGAGCAACACCAGTTCGGTTAGAAACGAAAACACACGAGGAAAGAAAATGATGACCAACCTTCCGGGAACCTTCGCGTTTCTCCTCCAGAAATTGATCCTGTTGTCGGTGGCCATAGTCGGATAGAACAACCCCCTTCAGACCGACACCCACATCGGCTCCTGGGACCACGGAACCCCGGGACCCGGGCCAGGTGGTCGGTAGGACCCGCTCCTGCGCTTCAGCGGCGGAGTTTAAACGGCCTGGAGACGAAAATATTCCACTTTCCGCCGCGAGGATGAGCGAAGCGGCGCGCTGGAAGCCGCCATCTTGGAGAGCAACGGTCGGGGCGCGTGATTGGCGCGCGCCTCTAACAGGTGCAGAGGCTGCGGCCAATAGGAAGAGCCTGCGGTGGACGCTTACCTGAGGAACACGAACACAAAGCTTCATGCTGGCAGCGGAAAGTTCAGCAGAAAACGCCTCGTTTCTCCTGGACTTGAGCCATGTCTGCTCGCCTACACGGTCCTCAGGTAAAAACGGATGTGACGTCCAGCTAGCTTAAACAGCTAGCACAGCAGGAGGGCAGCCACACAGAGCTGCGTCATTAATTATACCAAATACTAAAATAAACATGAAAACCACTCAGATAAGAGAGAGAACACATGTAACTGGATGCGTCATTATTTAAAAATACACTTTAAAGGTCAAGAATAAGTCCAATTGTAACCAAAAAGTCCTTTTAGACAAACCCGAAGCTGCTTTCTCAGAGATGTAAACACTTTATTTGTCTTATTGCATATTTAACATGTTTACAACAACAGTCTCGTAGGGCTAACCATGTCTGCACCAACAGTCTGAGTGTGCAGCAGGTGAGGGGGATGTTAGTTCAGGGTTCGGACAGTCCCTAACCCACCCATAAGCTGGGCGGAGCCTAATCCAGGTGACCCCAGGGATGCATCATCTGTATGGCAGGTGTTTATCTAACAGCTGTTTGGGAACAACAGATCTTTCTACATTATATTTCAGCGTAGAACAAATGAAACAGTCCCAACAGGTCGCAGGTGACTGATTTCCTAAAGGTAGATTTAAAGTAAATCAGCAGATATTGGTAAATGGTCTATTTGTACAGCACCTTCTTAGGATTCTGCAGCCCCCCAAGGCTCTTCACAACCCAGTCAGTCAGTCACACGCTGGTGGGGATGAGCTACAATGTAGCCACAGCTGCCCTGGGGCGCACTGACAGAGGCCAGGCCTGCCGAGCACTGGCACCACCGGTCCCTCCGACCACCACCAGCAGGCAAGGTGGGTTAGGTGTCTTGCCCAAGGACACTTCGGAGCCGGGATGAAACCTGCAACCTTCCGATTACTGGCCCCGCTCTACCTCCTGAGCTGCTGCTGCTATGTCCTGAGACACTAAGGGCAGGGTGTTAAAAGTGTCTTGTTCATATACTAAATGTAATCTGATTACATCTACGGTAGAGCTGCTGGTATTGCCATCACCTCACAGCTAAATGGTTGCAGGTTCAAACCCTGACTGAGGCCTTCTGCATGTTGTCTCCATGCATGAGCGGGTTTCTGCTCCCACAGACCAGAACCGTGCTTTTACCGTTTTATAAACGACATCGTTCTAGATGAACGTGTCTGGAAAATGAAAGATTTTGTGGAAATGCAGAAACAGAAGCGAAACCACGAATCAGAGCTGGAATGATTAACCACGCCAAACTTCCTCTGAGCTGTGACTTTGGTCTTTTAGCTGTTACTTCCCTGTGTGTGAGGGTTAGTAACAGCATGTGTCCAGCAGAGGGCAGGCTTTCTCTGCCCCGCCATACTCCAAACCACCACTAACTTCCTGTGAAAGTCTTCCACAAAGACTTGTGCTGAAAGCTCAGGCCGAGCGCCAGCAGCAGCTGCTTCTCCTGGATCCTGCGTGGCAGAAGGTCGGCCATCAGGGACGTTGTTCAGATTAGCAGGAGTCCTCTCCACAGCGGTGCAGGCAAATGCTGGTTTGTGTGGACGGGACTTGCTTTGCTGTGAATTTGAATTTGCAGGTGCACTCTTTGGTTTGTTTAGGGAAATCTCTGCAGGCTCCGCCCACCTGTGCTCACCTCCGTCAACGTCCAACGGACATCAACTGACAGAGTTCAGGTGCAGGCTTTAAACTTTTCACTCGGCTCTTAAAAGCTGCATTTGCCTTTTTTCTTTTATTTCCAGAATTTAAACATATTTCATGAACATGAATTCAGCCTCTGAGTTGTGAAGCTTTTGTCTGTTCTGCTGGTTCTGCTGAGGAGTGGGTCGGCGGTCACGAGGAACTGGAGCTGCCTGGGGGCACAACAGACCAGGAGCTTCTGTCCAGACGCCTCTTGGAACCTGGTTTGGGTTTCTTCAGTCTGAGGAAAGGCCTGGGGATCGTTTTGGACCAAACGTGCACCCCCACAGCTGATTTCTGGGTCTGGGACCATCTCCCCTCTGGAACATCGTCACCTTGTCACCTCGTGTGCCTCTAAGGAAAGCTGCACTGCAAGCAGTCTGAAAGAGCAGATTTTGGTTCTCGTCGGGACTCCGCTGCGTTTTGGTTTTCTGAAGGTCGCTCGGACCTTCTCTGAGGTGAGATCTGAGTTTGGGGTTCTCCTCGACTCCTCTGAGCTTCACACAGGAGGAGTTCCAAGACTTTCTTTGCACGAATGTGTTTTCTGTTGTGATGAATGTTCAAATGGAACAAACCCAGCTCCTTTTGGTTTCTCTTTCTTCAGCTGTGGATCACCTCAGAGCTCCTTCGTGGTGATGTCCAGCAGGACTTCCCTCCTTCAGGTCAGCAGGTCATCGTTAGCCGTTCTCACGCACCCCCACTGGGACCGGGACATGGAGGAGTGTCAACTCTCAGAAAAGGGTAGGAAAGCTGCCAGAGATGAGAGGAAGTGTGTGTGTGTGTGTGGGGGGGGGGGGGGGGGGGGGGGGGCTCCCTGAGAATGTTTCCTATATAAGGAACCCAGCAGGTCGCATCGAGTCACTGACTAGTGTCAGAGTCTTTACAGCAATCCTCATACTAAGCAAGCATGCAGCGACAGTGGAGAGGAAAACTCCCTTTAAACAGGAAGAAACCTCCAGAGAATCCTGGCTCAGTATAAACACACACACACACACACACACACACACACACACACACACACACACACACACACACACATGGTTATATTGTGATGTCTTAGTAAATATTCTATTTGGTGAAAGATAAACTTTATTGTATTTATCCTAGTGGATCTATAATTAAACGGGTAAACTAGTAGTAGCACATCCGATGTCAAGGAAACAAAAAGTTATCATCAGGAGAGGGAGAATGTTTAAGTGGTTAGCAGCAGTGTGCTAGACGATGGCCCCCTCCATGAGGCCACCACAGCTCAGCAGAACATCGTTGTAGCTTCTTCTGGGGAGAAAAACACTTAGAGAGAAAATAAAGTTAACAGCTGAAATAGCAGGAAATAATACAGTTAAAGAGCAGATAGTAGAAGAAAGCAGTAGAGTGTGGAAAGTGGTCAGTGTGTCCTCCAGCAGTCTAAGCCTATAGCAGCATAACTACAGAGATAGTTATACAGAAAACAACCAGTCGGCCTAATAAATGTTAAAATGACCTCCTACATAATTCCTAATGATGTAGTTGCTAATGTGTCCTTAAAGGTGCAGTATGTACGAATATAATGAGACTGTTGCAGTCATTTAACGTGTAGGTAAATAAATAGATGCATAGACTTGTTTATGTTCAGCACAAGTTACTTAGATTTTTTTGCCTCCATTAGTTGAAAAATATGAGAACAGCTCCTTGAGAAAATGATCGTGAATTAAATCGCAATTACGGTAGGTTATATTCCAGCATGGTTCAGCCCTACTGGCCGTGCGTCAACCAGCATGGAGGAACATGGTAGCGGAGGCCGTCCTGACCTGGGTAACTAAACAGGATGACCTGCCGACCCAAACTCAGGAGCTGGTATCTAAAACAGGGACAACTTCTGTTCCACGGATGTGGTTTGGATATGGGAAGGCCGACGTGGACCAGAAAACAGCGTCCGGCTCCCGGTGCCAACAACAGACTCCAATTCCAAATTCACCTCATCACCTGCACAAGAACCGTGAAACAGAGAGAGCCAACAGGCATGAGCCGTGAAAGCAGCATTGTAAACGCTCGTAACTCCAGACACAGATGCTGCAACAGGCCCGTGGCATGAGCACCTCCCGCAGACGGAAGGAGATCACATCTGCAACCATACGGGTCCAACCCTCACGGTCCAGAAACGTGGGTTTGTCAGTTGGTGCACACACTCGATCCAAGATGGCAACTGTGGACAGAATTCAGATGGTCATGGGTCATGGGCGTCGCCCAGCCAGCATCAGCAGCCCACCCGCGTGGAACAGCTTCTGGACCGTACCGATTCTTTCTGCTGTGACCGTCCGGGCATCAGGGCCTGACCCCTGGTCGGATCGAGGTCGGTGGCGTTTTACACCCCAGTGCCTGCATATGGCGGATGGTGGGGGCGAGACGGGTTCCAGCTCCTGCTTAGTGATGGACACCAGCTGGATGGAGCCATCAGAGCTGGATCATGAAGAAGTGCTGCAGCAGGAGGACGTTAGCCTGCTTCTTGCATAATGAGCTTTTATTTAGTGTCGTTTTGCTAAACGGAGGCAGGAAGAGTGGGAAGGGCTGCAGCGGAGCGTGCACTTATCGTAAAACAAAGTGTCACACTGTTAGCTGCTGCTGTGCTGTTAGTAAACATCCGTCTCTGCTTCAGTGCCGTTATCACCCTCCTCGTTAAGGACACACACTCGCTTCAGCTGGGGGAGTGTGTGTGCAGCAGCCTGAGTTACGAGTGTGAACGCAGGTTTGACCACGTGCACTGTGTTTTATGAGATGAGCTGGCTTTAATGACTCTGTCACCAGTAAATGGGTGCTGATTTGTAGCACAGCTGTGGCCACACACACACACACACACACACACACACACACACACACACACACACACACACACACACACACACACACACACACACACACACACACACACACACACACACACACACACACACACACACACACACACAAACACACACACACCTACAGCATATTTACAGTCGCACGGTGCAGCTTGTGTAGGGTTTGAACAACCGGTCTCATCAGAAAGGAATTACAGATGCAAGCAGCACTCATACACACCATTTCATTGTTCAGAGGAGCGGTTCCTCTGGGAGAACATGGATCTGCTGATTCTGGAGCTCGTCGTCACCGTTAAGGAGCAGCTTTCACACAGAAGATGCTGTCTGCAGGACGCT